CCATGGCCGCATGGCGGGGCCCACCTCATCGCCCACCACATCACCCACCACTGGCCCAAGGAAGGACTTGGCCGCTGGGCCCCATGGCCGCATGGTGGGGCCCAGCGCTACCCGGGCCAAGAAGAGGAAGCCTAACTTCTGCCCGCAGGAGACCGAGGTGCTGGTGTCCAAGGTGAGCAAGCACCACCAGCTGCTGTTCGGCACGGGGCTGCTGAAAGCCGAGCCCACTCGCAGGTACCGCGTGTGGAGCCGCATCCTGCAGGCCGTGAACGCGCTGGGCTACTGCCGCCGTGACGTCGTGGACCTGAAGCACAAGTGGCGGGACCTGCGAGCCGTCGTGCGGCGCAAGCTGGGCGACCTCCGGAAGGCGGCCCATGGCCCCAGCCCCGGTTCTGGCAAGCCCCAGGCCCTGGCCCTCACGCCTGTGGAGCAGGTGGTGGCCAAGACCTTCTCTTGCCAGGCCCTGCCCTCTGAGGGCTTCGGTCTGGAGCCGCCCAGAGGTGAGTTCTCTGCCCAGCTCACCTCGCTAGGGCACCACTCTGTCCAGCAGGAAGGTGGGGCCCATCTTGGCCGTGTCACCCTGCATCTTCCTCCACAGCACCTTCCTCTCCTCCTCTCTTCCTCCTCCCCCCCTTCCCCCTACCCTCCCCGTCACCACTGTCTCATCTGGAGTGTTCTTGTTCATTCATCCTTTGCCCCATGCACTCTTCACTCGTCTATCCACCCACCCATCTGTGCGTTCAGCCAACATATATTACATGTAAAGAGAGCATTAGTAAATTTTGTCTCCCTGCTTGGTGGTTGACTTGGCCTCTCCCTCACCCCATCCTAGAGTGGAGCCGAGCTCGCAGACGGGCAGGACAGAGTTCTTCTGTCACTGTCGCCCAGTCACATGCTGGCACCACAGCCGTGGTGAGAAGGGCATTTGCTGTTGCCGCCTGGGGTAGACCCACGCGCTGAGAATCAGGGGTTTCTAGCTGTGCTGACGCTCCCCACGGCCACGCGTGCCCGTGTTCCTCCTGCTGCGCCCTGTGCTACTCAGGAGAGAAAAAGCTAGCTGCAACTTACTAAACTGGTTTTCTGGCCTGGGTTTCAGCGCCGTGGTTTGAAACATGCTGCTCTGTTACTGTTTTTAACACCCAGAAGAGGCCTTCCTACAGGCTGGTGCCGCCCCGTGGTGTCAGGGTGAGCAGGTTGAGACCTGGGAGGCAGTGTCTGCTCAGAGCTGGGGTGAGCCTTCTGTGGACCCCGAGGCTGAGGCTCTGGCAGAGTCCCTTTTCCCAGGGAGAGCATTGCTCTGTTGGTGTCTGATGGGTGAGGGAGGTCCGCAGAGGTCAGCGTGGGCCCAGCGTCTCAGCTCCTGCTGTTGTGGGCCCAGACAGGTGCTGGGCATAGGCAGGGCATCTGAGCTCCTGCTGTGGTGGGCCCAGACAGGTACTGGGACAGGTGCTGGGCGTAGGCACGGTGTGCTGAGCTCCTGTGGTGGGCCCGGACAGGTGCTGGGACAGATGCTCAGACAGTTGCCCAGACAGGTGCTGGGACAGGTGCTGGACGTAGGCACGGTGTGCTGAGCTCCTATGGTGGGCCCGGACAGGTGCTGGGACAGATGCTCAGACAGTTGCCCAGACAGGTGCTGGGACAGGTGCTGGGTGTAGGCACGGTGTGCTGAGCTCCTGTGGTGGCCAGACAGGTGCTGGGACAGGTGCTGGGCGTAGGCACGGCGTGCGCTGAGTCCTCTTGACTGCTGCAGGAGAGCTGGAAGAGGAGGGCGGCGGCCTGGTTCCCACGCTGGATTCCAGCTGTGGGCGACGAGGCCTCCATCCTGCTGTGGAAGCTGCCTGGTTATGGATAGGCCCTGCCTGAGACCAGATGGGTCCCGAGAGCATGGGGCTGCAGCGGGCCAAGGTTCCGCTCAAGACACTGACTGGGATCCGCCCCCACACCCGAGCGAGTGTGTGGCGAGGACAGCAGTGCTGGCTGTGGTGGAGCTGACAGTGTCTGGGAGAGATCTGAGCAAGTGCTCCCAGCCCCACCTGGACAGGCAGACCTCAGCAGGCATCTCTGGTCACGGGTGCTGCAGCCTCCTGCCCAGCCCCGGGATGAGGTACTAGGCAGTGGCGGTCCCGGCACCGAGCCAGCCGGCCTTGCTGCAGGAGCTTGCTCGGGCTTGACTGTTTCAGCTTGAGGAGAGTCTTTACGGGCCAGCCCTTCCTCTTGGTCCAGTTGGGGGCCGTGGGGGAGCCCCTCTCTGGCCGTCAGTGGGATAGCTGGCCCCAGGGCCTCCCCCTTGCTCTGTGTCCGAGGACAGGTGCTCCCCTCTCTGGCAGCTGCTGCAGTGGCTCAGTCGCCCCCGCAGTGGGGTTAGCCCGTATTGTGGGCGGCCGGCAGAGCCTGGGACTGGGGTGACACAGAGCACTGCTGTCGTGGGCTGTGGGCTGCTTGTCTCTGGCTTTGACATGAAGAAGGCCTCCTGCCCTCCTCACAGGGATCGGTGAGTTTCCTGGTGCTGCCAGGGCTGGGGGTGCTGAGTGAGCTGGTGGCTGTGCTGGGCACTGGGTAATGAACGGGATGATGGAGGAGGTAGTGAAGTCAGAGGCACAGCCCGTGGTCCTCTCCTCCGCAAAAGGCCTGGGCCGCAGGAGGGGTCGTTGCAGCCTGCCGGGCAGTGAGTGGCTGACGGACAGTGACAGCGACGGGGGTGACCTCGCTGGTGTGGGAGAAGAGGAGGTGCTCCCGGGGGAGGTGGTGGGATGGCTTCATATTCTCTTCTACCTCCTGCTGTCCCAGCCTATGTCCAAGGCCTCTGGCCCCTGCTGTGTGTCCCGGATGTGCCGCAGGCACACGCTCTGCTTCGGGATGGAGGGTGGGTCAGGCCCCCAGGGCCCCATGTTGGCATGCCTGCTAGCCTGCCAGGGCCCTCCTGGGACGTGCCTGCAGCCCCAAGTGGCCTCTCCACCACTGCCTGTGCTTTACTCCTCTCCACGCTCATCAAGGACGAGCCTTTATTTCCTGTGAACAGGAGTCCCTTTGCCCTTGCCTTGGCAGGAGATGTGGGCCTGGATTGTTACCCTGCAGAAGACGGCCCGGCCCGGCCTCGGGGGGCGGGTGCAGGGAGGCTGGGGAGGGGGTACTTGAGGGCACTCTCAGTGTTCTTGTCCTCGGTCAGTCCCCACTGTGCCACTTGAACTCCCTCCCCCGTGTCGGGCTCTGCACCTGAGAGGGTGGAGGCGTTGGAGGAGGGAGGGAGGGGTCTAGGGGAGTGTGAGAGTGTTTTTTGAGACCTCCTTCTCTGACCCAGGTGGGCTCTGAGGGGCGTTTCTCTAATAGCATACCTCATCTTTGACTTTGAAACAGGGTCCCTAAAGTGTATTAAGAAAAAAAGCCAGCAGAAGCCAGCACACACTGCCCCTTCTCTGACACCAGCCCCATGCCGGGTTGTGGCTTCTCCTCTGGGCCCGGGGAGGTGTCTAGGCACGTGGCGTCGTCTGTGGGTTGTGAAGTCCGGCAGCCTGCAGGCCCTGCCTGCGTGTGGGCTGGGTCATGCAGCACTGCGTTCTGAGGCAAAGGGCTAGAGAGGTCCTTGCAGATCCTGACAGTCTTGGGAAGGCTGAGGTCAAGAGGAGATGGCTCCCTTGGAACTGAGCTCGAACAAACCCGCCCGGCCCTGTCTTTCCCAGCTCTGGGGTCTTTGGTGAGTGCCAGAGCCTTGTTATTTTCTTTCTTTATTGACATAGTAGTCATATATCAAAGTTTGTCATTTCACCCTTTTAAAGTCTTCAACTTGGTGATGCTAGTTCGTTCCCGGTGCCGCGCAGCCACCGCCACCGTCTCAATTTCAGAGCGTTTCCGTCTCCCAAAAGGGAGCCCCAGCCCTAGGCAGTCACCCCACTCTCAGCTCCCCAGCCCTGGCAGCTCTAGGCTGCGGTCTGCCTGTGGCTTTGTCTGTTCTGGACGTTTCCTGTGAGTGGAGCCATGTCCCATGTCTGCTCTGTAATCCTTGGAGCCTCCGCTTCCTCCCCGACAAAGTAGGGCTCCCGCCATCACGAGGAAATACGGGACATGCCTCGGCCAAGGCTGGTGCATAGGAGGTCCCGGCAAACCTCACTTCTCTTATGTGGCCCTGTGTTCCCTCTGGACTGGTGCTCGCCTGCCTCCATCTTCCAAGGCCTGAGCACCACCACTGCGCCATCAGCCTCCTTCCTGATGCCATCTGCCTTCCTGGAGCATGAGGCCCCGACCCTGGCCACAAACTCAGCCCTATACTGGCCAGTCTGGCCCCCACCCTGCCCCAGAATGAGCTGGTTGACTCCCCAGCTCTCCGGCTGCATCATCAGCCCCGTTGGGAAGCGCCTCTAGCCCTCTCAGTCCTCTGCGGAGTTGCCTGCGTGGTGCAGGACTGTTGCTGTATGTGTTAGAGGCACCCTCGGCACAGCTGTCCAGAGGAGGGCTGGTCACAGAGGAGGAGGGCGCTGCGGGGCAGGGCCGCTGCTCTCGGCTGGTGAGGGCCCAGACTCAGCAGGTGTGGGGAGCGAGCCTTGCCTTTGACGTGCCCATCTGCCACCTGCCTTTCCCACAGACCTCCCTCGGGAGTGGTTGTCCAGGTGGGCAGGAGCTGCCCTGTGCTTCCCCGGCTGCCTCATGGCTGCTGGCACAAAGCCTGGCTGTCAGCTTTGCCGGCATTGGCAACTGGGGTTCAGACATGTCCTCTCCACGAGGCCCTCAGAGGTGACCCTGTCTCCCTGGGGTGAACCTTACCAGTGCTTGACTCCGGTTTCTCAGCACCCTGTGGGAGCCAAACAGCATTTGCTCTGGCCACTTTGAGCTGCCCCTCCTGGCTGTGGCGCCCTGGCCCACACCCGCTGCTTCCCCACCCCGGCTTCCCCTGCCTCATCCACGGTATCGGTCCACGGGCCTGTGATTCTTCCTGGCCTGCAGAGACCCATCTCCGTGGTCGCCTGGGCCAGTGTAACTAGAGCCGTCACACATCACATAGCTGCCAGGCCTAGTCAACGGTGACTTTGGTTTGAGCCACATCTGATTGTCTCCCTCAGCATGGGCTGGCCCAGGACCAGCTGGGGAAGCGATCGTCAGCCTCGTCAGTCACACACTAAGGTTTTGGGGTACTCCATTTCTCCTTGAGGACCCCCAGCGGTGTTCTGTGGGTTTTGAAGCACCATCATGCATGTGCAGAGGCCCAGAGCGGGGATGGCCTCCCAGGGCTTCAGACTGATGTCCCACTACTTCTCTCCTCATGTCTGTCCATCACCAAATGAGTGGGCAAGAAGGGTGCTGCCAGGGTAGAGGTGGGCTGGCCACTTGTGCCCTGCCCAGGTCACGCTAGCAGAATCTGGCAGCAGCTCACGTGCAGGGTAGCAGGGTCAAGGCATCTCACCGCAGGGTCAGTGTATGGTGGCTCCTGGAGGGCAGACGGAGGGCCGGCCCTGGGCTGTTCTTCTCTTCCCTGGGGCCACTGCATGTGGACTCGGGCACACGCCATGCC